TTGAAACTTTTGGAGTGAGCCCCAGACATAGGTACATGATGCCCCCAGTTTCGTTTTTGTGCAGTAAGTCCCATAGCAAGGGCTGTCAGCGCCAGCCAACATGGCTCTCATGAGTCGCGGTCTAAAGGTACCTTTAACATGGATGGATTTTCAATCACAAACTATAACTTGTTGGAGTAAGTCCCATAGCAAGGGCTGTCATGCCAGCCAACATGGCTCTCATGAGTCGCGGTCTAAAGGTACCTTAACATGGATGGATTTTGACAAACTATAACTTGTTGGATGGCGGATGAATAGGCCAACAAGCTGACAAATCGGCAAGGCTTCAGACTTGAAACTTTTGGAGTGAGCCCCAGACATAGGTACATGATGCCCCCAGTTTCGTTTTTGTGCAGTAAGTCCCATAGCAAGGGCTGTCAGCGCCAGCCAACATGGCTCTCATGAGTCGCGGTCTAAAGGTACCTTAACATGGATGGATTTTGACAAACTATAACTTGTTGGATGGCGGATGAATAGGCCAACAAGCTGACAAATCGGCAAGGCTTCAGACTTGAAACTTTTGGAGTGAGCCCCAGACATAGGTACATGATGCCCCCAGTTTCGTTTTTGTGCAGTAAGTCCCATAGCAAGGGCTGTCAGCGCCAGCCAACATGGCTCTCATGAGTCGCGGTCTAAAGGTACCTTAACATGGATGGATTTTGACAAACTATAACTTGTTGGATGGCGGATGAATAGGCCAACAAGCTGACAAATCGGCAAGGCTTCAGACTTGAAACTTTTGGAGTGAGCCCCAGACATAGGTACATGATGCCCCCAGTTTCGTTTTTGTGCAGTAAGTCCCATAGCAAGGGCTGTCAGCGCCAGCCAACATGGCTCTCATGAGTCGCGGTCTAAAGGTACCTTAACATGGATGGATTTTGACAAACTATAACTTGTTGGATGGCGGATGAATAGGCCAACAAGCTGACAAATCGGCAAGGCTTCAGACTTGAAACTTTTGGAGTGAGCCCCAGACATAGGTACATGATGCCCCCAGTTTCGTTTTTGTGCAGTAAGTCCATAGCAAGGGCTGTCAGCGCCAGCCAACATGGCTCTCATGAGTCGCGGTCTAAAGGTACCTTAACATGGATGGATTTTGACAAACTATAACTTGTTGGATGGCGGATGAATAGGCCAACAAGCTGACAAATCGGCAAGGCTTCAGACTTGAAACTTTTGGAGTGAGCCCCAGACATAGGTACATGATGCCCCCAGTTTCGTTTTTGTGCAGTAAGTCCCATAGCAAGGGCTGTCAGCGCCAGCCAACATGGCTCTCATGAGTCGCGGTCTAAAGGTACCTTAACATGGATGGATTTTGACAAACTATAACTTGTTGGATGGCGGATGAATAGGCCAACAAGCTGACAAATCGGCAAGGCTTCAGACTTGAAACTTTTGGAGTGAGCCCCAGACATAGGTACATGATGCCCCCAGTTTCGTTTTTGTGCAGTAAGTCCCATAGCAAGGGCTGTCAGCGCCAGCCAACATGGCTCTCATGAGTCGCGGTCTAAAGGTACCTTAACATGGATGGATTTTGACAAACTATAACTTGTTGGATGGCGGATGAATAGGCCAACAAGCTGACAAATCGGCAAGGCTTCAGACTTGAAACTTTTGGAGTGAGCCCCAGACATAGGTACATGATGCCCCCAGTTTCGTTTTTGTGCAGTAAGTCCCATAGCAAGGGCTGTCAGCGCCAGCCAACATGGCTCTCATGAGTCGCGGTCTAAAGGTACCTAACATGGATGGCTTTTGACAACTATAAACTGTTGGATGTAAGTCCCATAGCAAGGGCTGTCAGCGCCAGCCAACATGGCTCTCATGAGTCGCGGTCTAAAGGTACCTTAACATGGATGGATTTTGACAAACTATAACTTGTTGGATGGCGAAATGAATAGGCCAACAAGCTGACAAATCGGCAAGGCTTCAGACTTGAAACTTTTGGAGTGAGCCCCAGACATAGGTACATGATGCCCCCAGTTTCGTTTTTGTGCAGTAAGTCCCATAGCAAGGGCTGTCAGCGCCAGCCAACATGGCTCTCATGAGTCGCGGTCTAAAGGTACCTTAACATGGATGGATTTTGACAAACTATAACTGTTGGATGGCGGATGAATAGGCCAACAAGCTGACAAATCGGCAAGGCTTCAGACTTGAAACTTTTGGAGTGAGCCCAGACATAGGTACATGATGCCCCCAGTTTCGTTTTTGTGCAGTAAGTCCCATAGCAAGGGCTGTCAGCGCCAGCCAACATGGCTCTCATGAGTCGCGGTCTAAAGGTACCTTAACATGGATGGATTTTGACAAACTATAACTTGTTGGATGGCGGATGAATAGGCCAACAAGCTGACAAATCGGCAAGGCTTCAGACTTGAAACTTTGGAGTGAGCCCCAGACATAGGTACATGATGCCCCCAGTTTCGTTTTGTGCAGTAAGTCCCATAGCAAGGGCTGTCAGCGCCAGCCAACATGGCTCTCATGAGTCGCGGTCTAAAGGTACCTCTAACATAGATGGATTTGCCAAACTATAAAGTGTGGATGTAAGCCCATAGCAAGGGCTGTCAGCGCCAGCCAAACATGGCTCTCATGAGTCGCGGTCTAAAGGTACCTTAACATGGATGGATTTTGACAAACTATAACTTGTTGGATGGCGGATGAATAGGCCAACAAGCTGACAAATCGGCAAGGCTTCAGACTTGAAACTTTTGGAGTGAGCCCCAGACATAGGTACATGATGCCCCCAGTTTCGTTTTTGTGCAGTAAGTCCCATAGCAAGGGCTGTCAGCGCCAGCCAACATGGCTCTCATGAGTCGCGGTCTAAAGGTACCTTAACATGGATGGATTTTGACAAACTATAACTTGTTGGATGGCGGATGAATAGGCCAACAAGCTGACAAATCGGCAAGGCTTCAGACTTGAAACTTTTGGAGTGAGCCCCAGACATAGGTACATGATGCCCCAGTTTCGTTTTTGTGCAGTAAGTCCCATAGCAAGGGCTGTCAGCGCCAGCCAACATGGCTCTCATGAGTCGCGGTCTAAAGGTACCTTAACATGGATGGATTTTGACAAACTATAACTTGTTGGATGGCGGATGAATAGGCCAACAAGCTGACAAATCGGCAAGGCTTCAGACTTGAAACTTTTGGAGTGAGCCCCAGACATAGGTACATGATGCCCCCAGTTTCGTTTTTGTGCAGTAAGTCCCATAGCAAGGGCTGTCAGCGCCAGCCAACATGGCTCTCATGAGTCGCGGTCTAAAGGTACCTTAACATGGATGGATTTTGACAAACTATAACTTGTTGGATGGCGGGATGAATAGGCCAACAAGCTGACAAATCGGCAAGGCTTCAGACTTGAAACTTTTGAGTGAGCCCCAGACATAGGTACATGATGCCCCCAGTTTCGTTTTTGTGCAGTAAGTCCCATAGCAAGGGCTGTCAGCGCCAGCCAACATGGCTCTCATGAGTCGCGGTCTAAAGGTACCTTAACATGGATGGATTTTGACAAACTATAACTTGTTGGATGGCGGATGAATAGGCCAACAAGCTGACAAATCGGCAAGGCTTCAGACTTGAAACTTTTGGAGTGAGCCCCAGACATAGGTACATGATGCCCCCAGTTTCGTTTGTGCAGTAAGTCCCATAGCAAGGGCTGTCAGCGCCAGCCAACATGGCTCTCATGAGTCGCGGTCTAAAGGTACCTTAACATGGATGGATTTTGACAAACTATAACTTGTTGGATGGCGGATGAATAGGCCAACAAGCTGACAAATCGGCAAGGCTTCAGACTTGAAACTTTTGGAGTGAGCCCCAGACATAGGTACATGATGCCCCCAGTTTCGTTTTTGTGCAGTAAGTCCCATAGCAAGGGCTGTCAGCGCCAGCCAACATGGCTCTCATGAGTCGCGGTCTAAAGGTACCTTAACATGGATGGATTTTGACAAACTATAACTTGTTGGATGAT